AACTTCCCGGCATGGTTCCGCTACGTAGACGATACTTTTACTCTGTTTGAAGGTAATAAAGATGATTTAAATAAAGTTCTTTCAACAATGAATTCCATTGATCCTGCTATTCAGTTCACTTTTGAACTTGAGGCTCGCAATTCTCTTCCGTTTCTCGACATTCTGGTCACACGTAACACATCCAACTTCAGTACTACGGTTTACCGTAAACCTTCATCGGTTTGCCTTCCACCACACTTTAAATCATGTCATCCGACTAAACAAAAGTTAGCTTCATTTTATTCCTATGTTTTCCGTGCTCTTCAAGTTTGCTCCTCCAAACTAGCCCTTGATGAAGAACTAAATTATTTAAAAGCAATAGCTATTGACAGGGGCTTTCCACCCAACATTATTAATCAAGCAGTTAAAAAATTCTCATCTCAACACACTAAAAGGCACACTCTTGTTTTAGGAGATTATAAAAATTCTGTTGTCATTCCCTTCTTTCCATCAGTTAGCTATAAAGTTGCACATATTTTGCAGAAATTTAACTTTCGGGTTGTTTTATTTTTTTATTCTCCCATCAATAAAATTCCGAGTTCCATACTCAAGGACCCCATTCCGGATATGAATTCCTGGGGTATTTATAGGATTCCTTGCCAGTGTGGTTTAATTTACATTGGCCAAACTAAGAGAGCCTTAAAATTTCGCGTCAAGGAACATGAGGCATATGTTAGAAAAAAGGAAACACAGGAGTCTTCTGTTGCTCAACATTGTTGGTCCGAAAACCACACTTTCAGTTTTTCTGCTGCCAAAATTATTCAAAAAACATCTTCCATTGGAGAACTGGATTTTCTAGAGGCATTTCACATTCATAAAAATCTTTCTGTTCTAGTTAACGATCCTAATTCCAATCCAAATTTGCCTTCGGCCTTTTAAAGAAATTATGTTTTAGTTCTGGTTTTACCAACAGATGGCGCCACTTGCTTATTCTTGTCCAGGCTTTCTTATCTTATCTAATCATTATTTCCTATCTGGTTCATTTGCGGTTTTGCAGCTGAAGATGGTGGTTCGGTAAAACCATCGAAACTAGTCCTGTGAAAATTTGGTAAATATAACGCTGATTTTTGTTGTTTGAATTCTGAATTAGCATTTATTCGGCGTGTTATTGTGTCTTAAGATATTTATTTATTAAATGTTAAATGTGCGTGCTCTTGTATTTTTAAATTTCCGGCTTAGCTTTCTCTTAATATTCGTCACGCGCTGCATTTCACGGGGAAGAAAACAATTTAATTTATAATTCTACTAATATTAGCTATTTAAATACCAAATCGGTAACAGTATTAACAGCTTTTTTTTTTTTTTTTTTTGACACATATTAGAAGTTCAGCATTATCATTCGCGTACTATAAAACGCAAAAAAGATCGCGGGTCGTGTAGTATTTAAATAAATAAAAAAAAAAAAAAAATTCATTGAATGGAATAACTTTATAGTAAACTGATGTATAAACATTGTGACACAAAGGTCTTTAATAAAGATGATTATCAAACCCGCCATCAACGAGGTGATGACAATACCGTGAGAAATCATCTCGTGATATTCAGATATGACGCGTAATTTCACGTGCTAAAGTGCTTGACCCAAGACTCATTCCGTTTATTTATAACTCGGAAGATAAACTCAACGTCTCGTAATTAATGGAATAACGCTTACTTATGCCTTACCGTCATTGAAAACAGATTTTATGATTATAATCTGAAGAATATTTCGAATTTTTCTTATGAATTTGCGTATTTAATTAGTATTCGATAGTTTATATATTGAAATAGCATTCGCCCAAAAAGGGATAAGACGGATAAAAAAATAAAAATTTTTAATGTGCCATTTTATCTAGTGCCCATACATTTTTTAATGAATAAAATTTTTTTATAGTAACGAAATTATATCGCCGTAGTTATTAATTTTTAATAACCAGAAATTTATTTCACAAAAGGAAATAAAGCTACATGATACATGATTTTACTTTAAAAATTTAACGAAAGTGTAAAATTATTTTGGAGATAATTCGCTACGAACGTTTTTGCGGTAATAGAAGTATGATTCTTCAATTTGATATAATTTATAAAATTTCTTCCTTTTTAAAATAAAATTCGGTAGTTTCCTAAGTCGTTTTGCAATGAATAATCAAAAAGCAAATATGAAATACGGCTTAAAGGGTACAGATGTGAAGTATAGTTTGAAATTTAAAATTAGACAAAATACAACCATAACATGACAGTTAGTTGTAGAGAAACTGTTATTCATACCAAAAACGCTGGGTTGGCTGTGTTAATGAACTGGCCCTAAGCACTCTGTAAACACGATACCACTGGTAAAAGACCAGCTGAATTATTTCATGACAGGAAATTGATTGCGCCCCTTGATATTTTTTTTTCCCCCTGAAAAAAGGTCGAAAGAATTTAAGTTGACAGACATTCAGAAATTAGCGGCTAAGGCAATGTGGCAAATCAGATACGACCCCCCCCAAAAAAATATGAGGAAATTTTGCAGTAAATTCGAATGCAAATACTAGTATGTTATTTGAATTCAAAAGACTGTAAATAGAAATTTTTGGCGCGAATTCTAGGTAAATAAATAATAGAAACTAATTCACGTGTTTATGCATTTTCTATGCAAGGTTTAAACTAAGTAAATGTAATCTTTTGTACTTTAGTAATGAAGTTTAATACCCTGAATACGTGATAAAGATGAACTTATGTATTTTAAAAGCAACATGTGTTCTTGATAATGTGTAAAAGCTAGTATATTATAATGAGTTGATTTAAAGTTAGGCTCTCCAGTCAACGCTTATAAAAGTTAAATGAAATTTAGAACATCAGGTATAGCTTGTGGAATAAGTTGTCGTTGAGATGATGAACGTGTTGGGAGCCCAAAGGGGCGCCCAGCACGTTCTTCACGATTGAATGGGTTCCTAGTGGTCAAATTATTAATCAATACTAATACACTGAAGTAGTAAAAATACTTCGTGAAAGAATTAGGAGAAAAAAGGCCACAGTTATGGAGTGATGGATGACTGTGGTATCAGGACAATGCATCTGCTCACACAGCCCTATCTGTCAAGCAGTTTATAACCAGCAAAAACATTCCTGTGATGGGGCACTCCTTATTCACCTGATTTGGCTCAATGCAACCTTTTTTAAAAAAAAAAAATCCTAAAGTTAAATCTTATCGAAAGGGAACCCATCACAGCTGAAGAGGTTCAGTCAAAAACGGAGAATCACCTGAAAGGCATTCCAAAAACCTCGTTCCAGAACTGTTACCAGCAATGGCAGCACCCAGTGCTGAAGGGAACTACTTTGAAGGTGATAATGTCACGGAGAACTGATTCTGTAAGTACAATGATTTATTGGACCAGTGTCGTATTTTTTTTTTTTTTTTTTTTTTTTTTGTGTGTGTGTGTGTGTGTGTGTGCGTGCGCGTGTCACATCTTGTATATGTTTCCAATTGCTCATGAAAGACATATTTTTGAAATAATAATTTGATTAAATGTAGGATAAAAATTACAACCATTCAGTTGATGCTGCTAACACATCAATCTAAATACTTTTAAACCGATGCAAACTTCTCTACCGCGTTATCTACCCTTGATGGAAAGGCGTATAAAAATAAACCTTGCATAACATAATTTTAAAAGCATAATATGCCTCTGTATATCCAGAAATTTAATCATACGAAGAATGCGGTTCAGTTTAGTTTCAGACACACACACACACACACAAAAAAAAAAAAAAAAAAAAAAAAAAAAAAAAACTATTTTGATCTCATAGCATTTTATTTTAGTAATACGTAAATCTTAAAAATCGATTCTAATTTTTGAGGCATGCTTTTCAGTCCCTAAGAAAACAGGAGTTCACACAGATATGTCAAAACGTTTTTCTCTACGAAGTGCAATGAATTTATTAAAGCTTGTTTGAAGAATGATAAATTCTTCAATGCCAAAAGTACAGAAAGTATTGCACTTTTTTTCTTTATTTTCATATCTTCACTTCTCCATTAAAATCTTCCATAATCCGATAGTTTCTAGCATTTCCACCGTTCTGCATACTCTGATACTGTTTCTAGCATTTCCTCCGTTCTCATTAGTGATGCTTTTTTTTTTTTTTTTTTTTTCATTGATATGCTAGACAAAGAATGACATTTATTTCTATCATCGTTTGAAACAGTGAACATTCAGGGTTTAAATTCAGCCGAAGCCAGGTTCAACTATATAAGTTTTTGAACGAAAATATAATTCCAACTGGAGCTCCAAATAAGAGGTAGGTCCATTTTATTATTAATTAAAAAATGTATACAATTTGCTATTATTTCTTTACGTTATATTGATGTTTATGTTTAATTATTCAGTTTCTTTATTATTAATCATTTTAATAATTAAATATTTCATTATTTGACTGTTAATTATTTATGAGGTATTTATATATTTTTGTTGTTCTTTCCTGATGGCCTTCTATAGGGCTCAGGCACTTCTAATTTAAAAAATTAAACCATGAACTCAGTATACATCCAGTCAAAGGTACGTACCAAAATATTAAAAACTCATATTAAAGTGTACTTTTTACCTAAAATTTTTCACCTAAAAGTTTGATTATGAAGAAACTCGTTTGTTATCAACGCTTGTTTCTTGCAGACTGAAAACGAACAGTTCGGTTATTCTTTTATTTTATATTTGTAATCGATCTAATATGTTATACGTCACATGATTTTCTAAAAATTAATTCAATGCAGAATTTTTAATTTAAGATTGCCTTAAATTTAGACTAGTTTTAATTGATAAAAATCAATGATACAAAAAAAATTTTTTTAGAAATATACATTGCTGAAAAACAGTTATTTGAACATTGTTTCAGACACACACGTTACAACAACAAATTAGCTCTCACTCTAATAGCCAATTAAATATTTTTAACCACCTACATGAAATGTTTTCTTTTTTCCAAACATATTATTCAGCAAAGTGATATACAAGAAATAATTCGTCCTTTATTTTTCAGTAATATTTATGATAACATACTTTACATCCTCTGACATCAACAGATCTTACATATTTATATGATTACATATACTTGATACTGTACAAAAACAAATTCAAACTAGAAGTCTCTTGAAATTAATTTTTAAAAATATGTGATATCAGCAATGGAATATGTACATACAGATTTTGATCAATATTCAGTGCAACTATTTACAATTTGTCTTTTTATATATCTTTTATATTTTAACAAAATTTCATTCTCAAAAATAAAACAGAAACAATCACAAAAGAAAGAAACAATGGGAAAAATCACTCACAATATGACTATTACAATCAATATCACTCAGAGCATGATTATTATAATCAGGGTTTTAGGATCCCAAATCGAAAATTTCTAGATAAAAAAATATCTAGATAACAAATAAAACACAACAATTTTTCTTTTACCCGTATATATAAATAATAAAAGAATATATATATATATAACAAATAATATAAAATGTTAAAAGATGCTTACATCAAAAAGATCTTCACAAAACCCTAATTATAATACACTTTAAAGCCATCAAGTCAGGTACTTTGTATAACTGAATATTAAAAATTTGATCTGCAGCTTTTATATTCTGTAAAATAAATTTACATACCATAAAGCTTCAGAACAAGCCATCTTTCTTTAATTATTATTATTATTTATAGAAAATATATCAGAGAAAATAAAATGATATAGATATATATATAACTAGAAATACAACAGAGAGCAGCTAAAAATGAATGTTGGTGCAATTTCTACACCAATAATAAATTACGACAAATCAAAAAGAATTTTTTTTTTTTTATCTTGAAAGGCCTTTTTCAGAAAAGTTCTCCAACAATTTATGGTTTTGATAGCAATATAGATAATGAATACATATCAAACAGAGTGTTAACTGAGATTTGAACAGATAACCATCCCCTTTCCCCAAAACAGCTTCAGGGAAGTTAAATTAATTAGTGAACCATTTTCCCCATAACATTACATATCTAATGGATGTTCTACTGGCCTGAAACATTCAATTTCATTTCACCTACAAAGTCATAAAATGCATTAAAGCATCAACACATTAAAAAATTACAAAAATTTTTCATATATTTGATAATCTGAAATTCTACAGATTTTGGTATCATGCTTTTCTACAGATTCCTTCCTGATATATATACTTATATATAAAGAAAAGAAAAGACTGAAAGGGATAAAAGAAATGGAAAGCAAAGCTTAATTATAAAAATGCCAAATATACCTTTGAGTATTTTAATATGATTTGTTTAAAGATTCAATATTTCTTACAACTGACAGCAATCATAATAAAATTAAAAAGCTCAATAATAATAATAATAATAGTCCTTAGTCTCCTATGTTGAATTACTGTTATATTTCGTTACTTTCATCGATACTTCTGAGTTACATTTTGAATTTTCTTAAACACTAGAAAGATATATATATATATATATATTACACCTTGGAAACTTTTTACATTATACTTATATTATAAAAAAGTTATGCAAGATAATTTGACTCAAAATTCAGGTTTTACGTTATATATCTATACAAAAGCTTCAAAAATTTATACATATTAAACTAATATAATTGCACAATTTGTTTTGATTAATGACTTTATAAAAATACTTATTTAATGAAAAGTGGAAATTTTAAAAAAATGAAAACTGCCTTGGAACAGTTAATATTCATACTTTTAAATTTTATTTATTTATTTATTTATTTTAATATTCTAAATCTGACTCCTATTAGGTTTTCCGCAATACAATAAATAACATGAAACTCAACATTTACGGCTATATTAAACCAATATTAAGTATAATTTCAAGAGGAACACACATATGTAAAACTATTAATTAATATATAAATCTTAGATTGACTTCAATTTTGAATAATGCTCTTAAAAATTTTATATTTAAATAGTTTTATTCAAAATGTGCACCAATTTAAGGTTGCTTTAATAACTAATTTTAAGTTACTTGATTAAAGTAATGCATTAAATAAATTACTTTAATCTATTTAATAAAATCTATTTATTGTGTGACTAATGAGCAATACTATTGCACTGATAACTAATTTATTTGCTTATTTGTTCAAATATTTAAAAAATCATATCGACTAAAAGAGCTGATCTTTGACTAATTTTTGGTAACTACAAAAATTAAATGATCTCAAACAGCAACAAATTAATGCAAACTTTTGTAACAACTCCCATAGTTATAGAAATGTACTTTATGAAAGACATAAACATGAATAATCCCAAGCAAAATAATTTTCCTCTCTTAACTTCAAAAGTTATGATAAGCGTTTATTAGCTTTAGTTTTGTATGTCAATGCAGCAGGCAATTTTCAAGGCCAGAGAACATCCCTTGCATACAAATGTAGCATAACTTTTGTGATATTCATATTAGCTTCAAAATCCTGAAGCTTCAACAACAATCCAGAAATTTACTTCCATTAATTTGAGCAAATACTTTGCATAATATTAAATACTTACATGGCTCATGCGAATATACAAATGGTTATATATTAAGAGACTCTAGTATTTCCTTCTCGGTGCGGCTAGAAACCAAAAATACTTCCAGACAAAGGAGGACTATATCTACAATCAAGCATTTACATAAAATGAATCTGTAACCTACTAAATTCCTTAAGTAACCTTTTTTATACATACATATATGCTTCGGCCATTTTCAGATTTCTTTATCCTATTATATGAGATAACATTTTAAAACTACGACATATTTTACAAAGAGATGCATCTAATTAGGCATTCTATAAGGCACATTAAAATGTTCTAAAAATATACATATATCATTATTTATAAGAAAATGTATGCACATTTTCACCTTAAATACAGTTTTTCATACTAATATTGCAAAATAGCATTTTTTTTTTTTTTTTTTTTTTTTTAAATATAAGGCATAGTTGTATCTTCAAAGTATGCTTCTATTAACACTAGGTTTACTGGAACCCTCACTAGGCAGATTTCAAACTTCACAAGCAAAATTACAAGAACCATTATTTTTTTAGTTTTTTAATTTATGCTGACAATTAAGATGTAATGAGATGAATAAATACCAAATTTATTTCCTCTTCAGCCCTTAAATTTGAGAGTTCGGGATGAAGTACACCTGTCTCTATGGATAACTGTCAAAATGATGACGAAGCTAGTTTCATAATTAATCATAATAAACCGGTTTTTTCATGAGATTTTTTTTGTGACAAATGTAAAGTAGTTAGAATATAGATACTAAATAAAAATCATAATTCAATGGAAATATCTTTTGATAACTTAAAATCCAATATCAATGCACCGCAGTTCGCCAGAAAAAGGGATACGTTACATGTGCTTGTCAATCTTGATTGCCTAAAGCATACACATAAAAGTGTTGGGCTCAAGATTAAGGAATGATCTGCAGTCATTCAGTTCCAGTCAGTCTGTTTAGATGAAGTTTTAGTTAGTGTAAGTAGACATGATCGAGGGAAAAGTATTAGATTATTATGAGTATTAGCAATGTCATTAGAGAATTAGAGGAAAGTACTAGTTTACTTTATTCTGATGAAATATACTTCTTTAGCCATCATGAATAATTCAAGAAGAGATAGTGATTAGCTAGAGAAAATAATTAGTATCAATTAAGATTGCTCTGTAAGTGTGTTGACACTAAAGCTACCATAACTTTTTTTTTACTCTGTCTGCCGATTTTAACTTTCTTTTCTCATAAAAACAACTACAAATTCGTTCAAACTGATGGTTACTGATACTTCTAGTATTAAGACTGCATTTTAAAATTAAATTAATCATTTTTAGAGAAAATATATGGTTTCCTATAACTCTTCAGAGTGACGGGTGTCCATAAATACAGGGTATATAAAAAATGTCCAGAAAGCTAGTGTTAATAAGCATAATAAATTTTTACTAACATTGCAAAATACTCATACTAATATTGCAAAATAGTTTCTTATGTAAGGCATTGTTTTCTCTTTCAAAGTATGCAAGTTGCATTAAAACATATTCTGTGCTATAAAGGAAAAATTACCTTCACAAAATACAAAATAAACAACATTAAAAAACAAAATTGATTTAACACATTAATTATAATATTTTTCTCCCATTTTAAACATATTAAAAAATCTACACATGAATAAATGAAACAACTTATATGAATTTTATCAATTAATACAATATAAAACCATAAGAAGTAATTTATATAAGATCTTAAAAAGCAATTTATCAACTACAATCTTCATAGTTATACCTTATGCAAAATAAAAACTAATAAATTTTAAAGAACTTTATTTGCATAAATCAAATCAACTTATTGAACTCAAAATTATTTTGATTTTTGCAAGTTAAACAAACACACATTATATATACTTCAAATTATTTGGTAATAGCAAATATTCAATAAATGTTATACAAATATTCAACAAATAATAAGCAAACTTAGTTATGGCATTTGCTCATTTGACCCGTGCGATGAAATATATAATAAAAAGCAGTGGTCCTGCAGTTAGTATTTATTCAGGAATAATGTCAAATTAGTAAGTTATATCTATTAACTTAATTATTCCAATAGCCTCTACTTTGATTTATAACTACATCTAGAAATATCCTATTTATTTACATAAAATTCTAGAAGTCCTACACAAAAGAAATTTTGATTACACATTTAAGGTCTTTGGAATCATCAGACAGGCTTTAGCAAAATCCAATTTAATGATATCCTCGACCTAACCACAGTTTTCTTTGGTTTGGTAAGCACTATTTTTGCTAGATGTGTACTTCAAAACATAAGTATTAGCATGTAATTATGATGATTCCTCAATTCACCAATAATTTTCAATAATCCCTTGACAATCGTTAAACTGGGATTCGATTGAAAATTCTAAAATAAATTACGACAGTTATGACACAAAAAATTATATTTGAAGGCATATTACAGGCAGTTTTGCTTAAGTAAAAATATTTTTTTATACATTTCTTGCTTATTATCAACTTACCTATTAACCATGAAACATTACTTTTTATAACTAATGCATTTTGACAAAATTTATTGAAGTTTTTTGTAAAATCGCAACTGCAAAGGTAGTACTTACTTAAGTTTCCAGATTATTTGATTACTTGTTATATCAAAAAGTTCCTTAAAATGTCCTTTTTTTTTTTTTAACTGATTTTTTTTTATTAGTGCTACTTATTTTTTACCTCAGGAATAAAAATTACACAGCATGTATATTTAAATGATACATAGTGAAGAAATTTCGCATATACAGTATTTTCTGTATCTAAGATATAATATCCCAAATATAGCACAAGCCCTAAAAAGATTATGAAAGATCAGATTCATTAAGGATAACATATTTTTCCTCTGAACAATCTGCTAGGTAAATTTATGTGCAATCATCAAATTCAATTTGCTTAAATTTCATTCTTTTTAAGCAAAGATAAAGAAAAAAGGCATAGACTCGATATTGAAGACATATGTTAAAAAAAAATAAACATAGGTTTTATGGTGAACTTAAATTAATGGCCAAGTTTTTAAAAGCTACCATTGAAAGATTATTGAAAACTCATGTTAATAATACTTAATTCTACATAAGTCTGTATTTCATCAAAATAATGTGCTTTCTTCATAACTGAATGCAATGAAAAAAACTGACTGTTCTTTGGTAATTTTCTTTAAACATAATAACCAAGCACATATTGCTATAAAATGACATTAACTTGAAATTTTCATTCAAGATTTAAGAAATGTGCTTTGGCTAGATAAGTACCTAAACTTCAGCAGATTGCTCCTTGCTAGTGGATATGAAGTAGACTTTTTAACAAAAACTACTATTTATAATGATTAATTACATTACAGTAACTGTAGTACTAACTCAAATGTACTAAAACGGAAGTGATATATTACGAAAGAATAATAATACAAACTATAATACTAACCCCTGTATAACAAGTTAATAATTAATAATACAGGAAATTTCTAAAAGAAACTGAATTTGAAATTTAATAGTAATGTAAAAGATATTTAAAAAAATTTACATTATTAACAATATAACTTTTATATTACCACCATCATATCAGTATGTTGTTTATTCAAAAGTCAAATTTCAAAGGCTTTTCACAGTAACTGTCAATTTTTTATTATAAAAAATTTAGCAAGGTTGAAAAACAAATTCCTTAAAAATATAGCCTCAATCTATCAAAAAAAAAAAAAAAAAAAAAAAAAAAAAAAATCACTTTAAAATAGGAGAAAATTGAACTGTTCAATGGTTATATGTTTCAGTCATATCTAACAATAATGTAGATGACTAGGAGTTTTGAGTACTTATATTAACCAAGTTTCAATCCTACTATACATATGTTGAACACAAAAAAAACTTCATTAATCTCACAATTTTGGCATTTTGCTAAAAGGATAAGATCTCATAAATAAAGTTTTAAACAAAATTGGGGTTATATGTCAGTTGTTTACTTTGCCACAAAAAACTTTACATTAAGTACATTTAATGGATCAATAAAAATCTAATATCAAATTAATTTTATTACTACTTGCACAATTACGTATATATATATATATGTGTGTGTGTGTGTAAAAATGCATTTTAGAGGTGGAAACCAGAAAGATCCAACGATTCACAGCTATGTTGAATGATGTTATAACTATGTAATTTTAAAACTATTTAATTGAAATGTTACTTATTAGAAATTTCTGCATAATTTCTAATTTTAAGATCTGCATAACCATGCCTTAAATTTCCATTTCATAACACTTAAATATTAATTTTTTCATAATGGAATGAATAAAATCTTAACTTCATATCCTTCAAGATGGGAATCATGCTAAGTTATTCAGATTTAAAATTTAATATAGTTAACCACAGGACCACTGTATGTAAAGATAGATTACAATATACATAATTCTGTACAAAGAAAGTAAATTTGCAGGCTGAATCAACTGAAATTTTCACAATATACTATATAAAAAATAATAATAAATTTTACATTAAATAATTTGACAAATCTTTCACATTAAACATGTTTATATATCTTTCCATTAAAATAAAAAATTTCATCACAGATCTGCTGAGAAAAATGTCAGCCAAAGCTTATTAAATCCAAAGCATTAATTATATTTAGAAACAAATAATTTGAAACAAATATGATATATTTAACATGAACTCTAGAATCAATCTTTCAACAGCCTAAAAACCATACATAGTATAATTATGTACATTTTACTTCAAATGAAATTATCTATGAGACTAACCAACAACCTGAGATATATCCAAGCACTTGAAATTTAACTTATTTTCACACTATAAAATGAATTCCTATACTGACATAGAAAAAGGTATACCTTTTGTAGACTTCATTGCCAAACAAATAAATAACGAAAGGCACAACTCAAATGTGAACAGAATGCATAGTTACTTTAAACATGATTAGTTCCATATTATCATACAAAGTTCAAAGCTTTTTACAGCTGTCCAAGACCACCATCACATTCCCCTTTGGCAACTTTATCCAATACTTCATTTACGAAAGCAGCAGTGTTTCCAGCTACTTTGTGAGGTTCTGAAACAATGAAAATTATAAAACAATGAGAAGAACTCAAATTTCAGTTCAAATTTTTGAGTGTCTGTCTGAGCATTCTCTAATACCTGTACGACTACAAATTTATGTTTTCTTTAATTTGCGTTACAGAGAAAATAGGTTTAACCTTCAACATGGCATTTTCTTTTTTGTTACGATTTTCGAGATTTTGATTTATTATTTTCAAATCTTGCAGCACATTGTACAAATTTGTGTCTAGGTTTTATTTTCTTTTCCCTTGATGCAAATCAGGCTATCAATAAAACACTTGGCTGGAAATGAATCCGTCATTCGAAGCCGGCAGCATGCTTTCTTTACCAGATCGGGCGTTGGTGGTTAAATCGTTCTACAAGAATGGTGAATCCACAACTGTTACATTGTGCATGAAGAAAGGACTGAAGGCATAAAAAAAGCCTGCATTGTAGGAAAGACATGCGTTACCCGTTGTCACCTTCATGCAGGATGGTGCCCCACCCCACATTGCATGTGATGTCAAGATGTTCCTTTGGAATCTTTCACTGAAGACCAACTTATGAGTCACGGTTGTAATAGATTCAGTGGCCCTCAACTTCACCAGACTTCATCACGGCAGATTTTTGGAAGTGGGCATACTTAAAGTCTCATGTGTACCGGGGCTCCCCAACTACACTGGATGGAACTGAAAAATGCCATTCGACAGACCGTCGCTGCCATCAATGGCGCTGTGCTACACTCTGCTGTAATGAATGTATTGACGCGCCTCACTTGCCTATTAAACCTTGTGGTGGTGGTAATGTTGAACATCTGTTACTATAAAATAAATGCATAGTGTCATGTTATTGTGATCTGTTTGATTGTCTGTTTCTGTTTGCATGATTTGAATAAAACGTCTCAGTATGACATGTGAGCGCCCTCTGTTGGTTACTTTTGAAAACTTTTTTTTTTTTTTTCATGGGAAAAAAATCTAATGTCTTTCTGACCATATTGACACAAACAGAAGATTTTTCCGTTCATTCCTTCTTTTATTACAAACTTTTGAACTTTGTACGAATTTATGATGCAACCGGTATATGTGTGTTAAGATAAAAAATATTAAATTCAAAATAACTTGTTTTTATTTGGACACTTTCTACATTGTGTACAGCTCTTAACCAATCTACTTTCAAAATTTAAACAAACGATTTCGATCTTATATTATAGGCCTTGCTAAAATGCACATTCACTTTTTCATACTTGCTTTTGCCTGGATAGCTCATGTCTTATTGGTTCGCTGAACCTTCTATTGCTTAAATATGTGATAAATGTATATAAAATTGTGGGGTGAGAAAAAATAGATTCACAAGAAGTTATTTATAATAATATACAGATGAAATAATATATACATAAAACAATGTATCATTAAATTATATATTTATTCCATTTTCTTATCTTACTTTGAAAGAGAATTTAGTAATGAAATTATTTTATTGAAAATGACTCAACTGACAGTTTATTTGTAACAAAGATTTAGTTTTCGTTCTCCCGCCCCAGTATAAATTACAATCTTAATCAATTCATAAACAGAGCTTTACCTATTAATAATGACGTGTGTGCTTTAATTTTCTTAACCCTTTTGAAATAAATCAAAATGTAAAAATTAAATACTAGAAATTACAGCAAAAATAAAAACTAAATACTAGAAATTAAAGCAATATAAAAACTAAATACTAGTACAATATGTGGAATGGATACACTTGCCTACTATCTGGAAACAATATATAGATAGTTCATTAAATTATATAGTTATTCCATTTCACACAAATCTTATTTTGATATCGAAACACAATTTTGTAATGGAAGTATTTTATTGCCAAATGACTCATCTGACAGTTCATTTGTAACAAAGAATTAGTTTTCATCCCCCCTTCCAAGCCTTTAATCCCTTAAGTGGGTCGATAAAATGAGTACCAAGTTCGAGGGTTATGCGACAATATTATTATGTCATATGATAAGGTGAACATTATTCATACCATGCTTTATCAGTTTCACCAGCATAGAAATGCTGCAAAAGCCAAATGAAAAATTATTTCAGTATATTCAGGTACTAAGAATGAATATCAGTGCCAAAAAAGTGAACAACTTTAGCTTGAGGGCACGCCTAGGCATAGACAGTGATAGAAGATGGGAAATGATGATTTGAAGATGTTGATAGAAATCCATGTACCATGAATAAAGAAATAGGAATAACATCATTAAACCAGTAAACAATAATCAGGCGACTTGAAATGAATGAATCAAAATGTTTTCTTGTACTGCTATTTGTGTTTTACATGAACAGCTAAAGACTATAAGCGATAACTACAGATTTATGGTTTTTTGTTTACAAGAAATGGAGCCTTCTTAAAGGTACACTATGAGTGGTGCTGAAGAAAAGATTCTTTGTGCTAGTTGCTTGAAAAAGAGACTCATTCAGGAAAAAGAGAAGCCAATTCTCACAGAAAAACTAGAATCACATTCAAAGAAGATTTACTCTACATATGGTGAGGAATGATTTATTTAGAATTGTTAGAAAATAATTAAACAAGCTTTATATACCAAGCAACCTGCATTGATAAACAGACCTACGTAACTCTTTAGCAGACTAACACTAAACCATGTTACTACAGTAGGACTTGACAAAAGCATAATGATAGGAGATTCTTACTCATCTTGCATAAGAATCCACATCCTTCATCACCTCTACCAATTAAACCTGCTGACCAGTAAGGCCTTAAATACGTTTAATAGAAAATTTTCTGCAATGCCTTTAAGAAAGTATAAACATAACGAGCCAAAACATATGACCATCCAAACATTTTTCAATGAACTCGCACGGATGACATTGAGGGCACCTGATTAAAAGAGAATGGTATTTAACTGCTCCTGAAGAAGGTAAGGAATCATTCTTGCACTTCTGCAAGTGATGGGAAAGGATGTTTATCTAAGCAAATTTGATAAAGGGAAGATTGTACTGGGACGAAGACAATTAAAAACAATTAACATATAAAACATTAAGTTTATTTATTGTATAATAATGGAAAAAATACCATGACAAATTATCAGAATAAAATAAAACTTCTATAAGATACAAAAAGAAGCAGAATATGCTACAATAACAGCAGTGATAGCAGTATTTAAGAACTGTTTTTATCCACAACACTATGTAATTTATTATTATTCATGGCACGAGTGCCTAGGAAGGGCTAAGACCTACCTACTGTACAGTAGGTCTTAAGGCCAGGAAGAGCTAAGGCCTGTGTTACCTAGTCTTCGTGAAAACATTTTTTAATATGTTACTGTCGTTCCCAAGGATAATATGTCTAGCCCAATTGAGGTGGATTATTTTAATGTAATGAACAACATCTGGCTCTTTGAACATTTTCTATAATTCAGTGTTGCATCTCCTACACTAGACTCTATTTTCCTGTATTCGTCCAAAAACGCTTCTCAGGACCCTGCATTCAAAAGTATTCAAAATTCCTTTCTCCTTCACAGTAGTCATAGTCCAGGTCTCCAAAGCAAAAGTCAGGAAAGGAGGGATTAGGATCTTGTAGAGTAATAGCTTGTATTTCCTGATAAAAAGCCAACCTAAGTAAATGCTTTAATCCATAAAAAGCTTTATTAAGTGCAACAATGTGTCTCTTTATTTCAGATAGGATATCATTGTTTTTGTTTAGCATCAATCCCAGACAAATGAAATCTGTAACTATGTAATTCAATTGCATATAATATGGAATATATAACCACCATTAAAACATCAGTTAAAAATAAATTGGTAAATTATAATAGTAAAATGAGTATATATCCATTAATCTTCTGCTGAGTCGTATTGAAATATAGGTGTCAGAAGAAAGTTTCAATAAAAAACAAACAAAATTTTTTTTGTTGTTGTTTCTTACTCTTACTAAATATAGGAAAAAGAAACAAAACGTTTTGAGTGCTGATTTAATTTACATAACCAAACAAACTTAAATAGTACTTTTCTGTTGTTAACAGGATTTTTTAATAATATGGGTTATTCCTGTTTTATATGCATTTTTAAATTGATGTCAGGTTATAAATGTAACTTTTGTGTTAACCATGGATGCTGTCACTGGCATTAACCCACTTAATCATAAGTCACAATAAATTACTCTTGTGATCTTGTGCTGTATTCCAGAAAGCAATGTCCTAAGACAGACAAAAATCTTAAATAGTTGAATAATGTATTGATCACTCTCTTTTAAGATAGAAAAACCAAGCATTTCCTTTTGGTTTTAAATTTTTTTTCTGTTTCTGATTATAGTTTTTAACTGATAAATAATAATAGAGTAAGGAAAATAAAATGATCTTTACAGTAATTAAAAAAAATATTAATTCATGTGGAGAAAAATGCAAAGATCTGAAAACGAGAATTTGCGAATGTGAGATGCGAAAGAGCATTTTGCAGAGAAGCCATAATTTGATATAAGAAATTATTTAAAATAAAATGTCAACTTAGTAGAGTTTTTTTGCATAAAAAATAATAATTTTAGTTTTTCTACACAAGAAACGACAAAAAATGTGAAATTTTTAAAATCATAAAAGCATAATTTAAAAAAATGAAATTACCTACTGTTAAAAAAGCACACAGTAGAACAACTGTTGTTTCATGACAGTTGTATGTTTGTTACGATGTGAACTCCATCTAAAGGGTGAAAAGCCACATTCCAGCCATACCTGGTCTACAGACATTTACAGCCTTTATTATGTGATGTTAGCTGAGACTGAAATTCAAATAATTTAGGAGAGTGTTTCTCAACCATTCCTGGAAATCCAAATGTTTTGTGAGAAATCATTATGGTTCTGCAAGAAACTGTGATGAACAGATCAATCATATGTATATGTATGTATATCATACTTAACTTTTGCATAGGGTTCGCTTAGACGGGTGATGGCACACCTATTTTGAATGACATGCGACACACATTTCCAAAGCCAAAAAGACATTTCCAAAGACAAAAAAATTGCATAATGCTAAAATATATGTTTCTTGCAATGGCCTTGCTATTGTTAATGTGCTGCACTTATTCACTGCATTCCAGTACATGGCAGACAGATGACGTAGATGGCAAGAATGATTCTATACATGACATAGCACCAGAATTAAGCTAGGGTTTTTCCTCATTTTGGCACATGAGCTCAAAATGTTCACCACCACTTAGATATTAATATATTTTCAATGGTTTCACAGTGTTCAGAAACTTTGGTTTAGGATGACCGTACTTTCATACCAAAAGTGTGGAATGACTATCAAACTTAGTCAGCATATCAAAAATGAAGTATTTATTATGTACCTATATGCACTAGTAGCAATGAAAGTGTTAAAATCATGCATTTTTTCATTTGCAGTCTGAAGTAAACTAAAAATTTATAATTACCATTAGCAGCTAAAAAACTTTCAAGTTTTTTAGAACAGTTTGAAAGCTTTCTGTCATGAGGATTCTCAATTTTATATCTCAGGAGTTCTCTTGTGTCCATCAAAATAGCAAGCAACTTTTCTATAAAATAAACCATAAGACATAACTAGACTATGACTGCACAGCAAGGAGAGAAAATAATTTTAGAATAGTAAAATTAAATTATCATACCCCCTCCCCCCCAAAAAACGTTCATTTACAACAAATGTAAAAAAAAAAAGAAAAGGAAAGAAAGAACTTGTTAACGTACTATGTTCTTGTTGAAGTCCATACAGTTTTATCTTATTTGCTTCATGTTGAGCCTTTTTCTTCAGCCTGCAAACCCTATAAGATTAAAATATTTTTTTTTAAACTAAAAAAATGAAAACAGTATTTAAGAAATATCATGATGTGCCTTATAAAAGAAAATTAATCAAGAAATGTAATGAAACTTAGTTTTTGAATTCAATGATCAATCATAATTTTAAGTACCAATTTTTTAATAGAAAATCTGTAAATAATAAATTTCATATTACTGATAACATAAAATGCGCATGGTTTAAAGCTCATGGACATAAAATGCTCATGGACTTCTAATGGTAAAAAATCTGGTATTTAAATTTGCAACCATTTAATGTCTACACTGAAAAGCAGTAATGAAGATTTTGAAAGTGTACCTTATAAAATGAAACACATATCACAAGCAAAAGTACATTCACATCCCAAATATGCTTAACCTATATGAACAGAACAATTTCCAAGTCATCTGAATACTTAACAGATCAGCATCACATGCAGTCATATGCAAATTAATATGATTTTCTGAAAAACTTGTAGCTAAAGTTTTTCAGCTTATGATTACGAGCGATTTATGATATATTAACTACATTTAATCAAATTTCCAACCAAAAGACTTATAATGAATTATACTTCAAGAAATATTATTATATTTCAATATTTATTAATGCCTCTATTCTTTAAGGCTTCTTTTTAGTGTTGTGATAGATCTTTCCCACAGCCCCATACTATCTGGGCTCTTTGAATTAGTTTATTCATCTTTGCTTTTTATTCATGGATTTCATTTTTGAAAAAAATTCCATATTCCTTTAGTGGAGTCCAAAGTATCTCTTGAAGCACTATGGAGGTAAAATAATTTTCCAAAACCCTTGAAGTGTGGCAAGAGGCATCATCTTGCTGAAAAATTTCACCTCCTTGAGGATACATTATGCTGTGGAAGGAAGTTTTTTCCAAGATCTCCTAGTAATTTTTGTGAATTTACACTCTCTTTTAATATTTTGATGTGTTCGTTACCACACACAGATATACAGTTCTAGATCATTAAAAATGGAGAGTCACTTCAGTCAAAATGCAGACTTCTTAATTTGCTTCTTGTCTCTTACGAACATGGTAAACTCTGTCATTATTGACTAAAGTTTCATAAAAAAAAAACTAAATTTAATTAAATCTAAATATTAAATTTATTATACCACTGAAGTAACGAAATATTTTTAACAATTAAAATAAAAGCAACCTTTCTAAATGAAAAAAATCCATTGAATTTATTTAAATGCAAGTGGCTAAAAACATGTTACCATTACTATCCATTAAATGAGACTAACAAATTTAATTTACATTAAAGTTTGTTTGCTGAAATAATAAGCAGATGAGAAATCTTTGGTATATTTTATAGGCCATGATAAAGAAAAAAGGCCATAATATTTTATTCAAGACAGTAATTTCAAAATTAGAAAACAACGGAATAATTTATAAGCCTCAAATCAATATTTATGCCTAAATTTAAGATCACTTAGAGAGGGGGGGAAAAAAGGCCAATAAGTCAATAATATTGTTACAACAGAGATTCAATATTATCTCATTACATATCCAACAAATATTATATATCTTAAACAATATATCTTAAATTTAGGCATCAAAATAGTTGCTTAGAAGAATAAAATGAATGCTAACATATTTAGAAGGATAAAACATCAGATGAAAATTTCATGAAATACAAGATATGACATGATGGGAAAAGGATCTATGGAGCATTACTAACTAAGAAAAGTATCAGTAATTTATAATTTTTGATGATAACATGAAACCCTAATGCTATTAAAGATAATATGCCATTTAGCCTCCTATAAAAAAGTCTAGTGAGACAAAAAAACTCAGTTATAAGTTTCTGCTATCAGACTATCTTTAAAATTGAATAAAGTGAATTATTCACTTTATTTGATGTACATGTGGCAAGAGATTTTATTCTGCTCTGTAATGATTTTATTCTTTTCACAGCACTTCTTCCTAGTTTAAATCTTACACCTCGTATGAGAAATCAGCTGCAGCTTATATACATGCACACATACATCTAATACAAAGAAAGAACACTTCAAAGAAATATACATCTATCTACCTCCAATAAATATTATTTTGCTTTTTTTATTCCTAAAGTCCAAATGGGCAATTTGCCCTGAAGAACACATGTCTATTTCGTTTTGGCATTTTGTGTTGAAAACTTTAAAAGGCTGTATCACTTTTCAAATCACTATCACCATATATTTAAAGAAATTAAATAACGAAGAATCTGCATAAATGTATGTATATTTCTCACACTGTAATAAAACAACGGTACCAAGAGCCATAAAAATTTGAATAACGTAATCTTCTATAGGATACGGGCATGTGGAAGCACTAATTTGAATATCAAATTTGTTTTATTATTGATTTTAGATTTTGTAACACTTCAACAAATTTTTGATTAAAAAACTAAATGATTTCAAAGCCAGAAATAATAACACTGTATGATAAAAAAATATTTTTATCTCCAGCGCGCGAGACTCTGTATCGGAAATTCTAAAAATATGCTCATTTTAAAATTACTTTGTGATATTGCTGTTGAACTGAATTTTATAGTTTGAGTATGCAGAACATAATATTTAATAAATAAATGTAACACCTAAAACGTTAAAAAAAAACACCCCTTTGGACGTAATTTAAAATCTGAAACCTTTCAGATTTTTATTTTTTATTTATTTATTTATTTTTAAGATACTGTTATTAAGGTTAACCCAAAAATCACTAATTTATATAATTAACATTTTTTAAAGCCTTAAATCCCCTTACTATCATGATAATACCAATGGCCTTCTTTTAATCAGCCTTATTAACATTACTTTACAGCTTGCTGCTCCAGAATTATGTCATGACATGGTACCAACAGTACTAAGACCTAATATCTAACTTCTCCCAGTCTAATTAAACATTCAAAATACGACTAAGTAATATGGAATGCTAATAAACTATCTAGAACACACATAATTCAACATTCTATTATGGCAATCCTTGCTCTGAATGATTTATAAATATTATAATCATTTATATAGAAAGCAAAAATCTGCATTCAGGTTTTAAGCTGATTTCGTTATTTTCTATATAAAAAAAGTTTTCTGTTACAGAATATATTTCCTTAATCAGATTTTTAAAAAAATCTATTAACACGTTGACTGCCAACACACATAAGGATTAATTTGAGCAGAATGATTCAAAGGTCGAAGAAAATTATACTCCCTATAAAACTGAAAAAAATGTGAGACACCAGTAGTATATGCAGCCACAAACATTAACATTGCTGTGACCCACCGGTGGATCCCATGGTCACAAAAACAAATTTATCATGATTCATGAGGGGTATTAGGCTGTTATGATGCAAAAAGTAACTTAAAAATATGATAAAGAAAAATAACTAAACACAACATTTTGTTTTATGGCTGTTTTCGAAAAAGCAAAAACAATGCAATGAAATATATCTTTTGGTAGCAACAGTTGCACATACATTATAATTATGAATTTAACGCTTAAAAATACTAATTTAAACTTTCTCTCCACAGAAAAATTACTAACTGCCAAAATATACTACTTTAAAAAAAAAAGTATAAATTACTTTTAATTTAATTTAATCTTCTATATTATGAAATACCAGCATCTAAGGATCTCCCCCTCCCCAGTTTAAATAAATAAATGTTTGAAATCTCTTTTGGGGGGATTAAATTGGAGTGAAAGAGAGGAGGTAGTATTAAAAAAAAAAAAAAAAGTTAATACCAAACACACAAATTCTTGTTCACTATGTAAACAACAAAAAACCCTGTTCATTACCAGTAAACAAAACAACAATAGCAAGAATTTATATTACATTCAGTTGAATGACACTTTATAAATAGGAATAAAAATACAGTACAAAGTCCGTAATCCGGATTCCACGGGACTTAGGCGATTCCGGATTAGGGGTTTTTCCGGATTATAGATCATCAATTTAAATCTGGTAAGATGGCATGCAGAAATTATACAATTGAAAATATGAAACCGTAATTTATGAAATAAAGAGCAATTATGATTTAAAGGGTATCAAAATTTACCAAAAAAAAGCTTAATATTTATTTGTTTACTTAATCAAACATTTCTTTCAATGTAAATTGTTTAATTGCTTCGTTTTTTCTGCTAATACTTTCTCTTTAATTCTCTCTTCCATAAACAGTACCTCTTCTCTTTATGCGCCTGCGTAAGCGTATTATGCGCATGTGTAAACGCATACGCATGAGCATAAATTTTGTAGCTTTGAGGTCCGGATTATAGATCATTCCGGATTATGGACGTCCGGTTTAAAGACTTTGTACTGTATATAATTTTTTAGCTGAAGAAAGAATAATCAAAACACTTGTACTTTGACCTAATAATAAGATAAATATTCAAGGATAAATACTTATTCACAGTTTAAAAGCTTCAGTTTCTTAAAAAAATAATCAAATTTTGACAAAGCAATGTAAGTTTAAGACACAAGATTGATACTGATTACATGAATTTCACTTTGTACTTGATTTGAGAAATAAAATTTGAACCTAGAAAACACTTTTTTTAAAGCAATATGTATATTCAATTAGTATATTATTTACTACTTTCAGACCACACTGGCAAAGTTGAAGTCACAACTGAAAATCAGAGTTAAGGGGTTAAAGTAAAAAAGGTAATGCTGATTTATGCACATACAGTCTCATTACAAATTTTTAAAAAATAGTTAATACGGTACAACATAACAGGAACATGATTTTTTTTAACCTACTACACATCTAAGCTTAAAAAAAAATCAGTACCTAGATGCAAGCTTATTCTTTTCTTTTCTTGATAAAGGTTTTCCTTGTGATCCAAATTCATTCGGATGTGTGTTATAAATAAGTTTGTTCAGCTTCTTCAGCTCAACACCAATATTAAACAGTTTGCAAGGATTTGGTGTCAAATCATTGCCATCCCCTCTTCTAGCTTTCCCAGAATGTTTTACAGGAAGAGCACATTCTTCAGAAAAGACTGGATCAAAAGCATCATTCAAAACATAGGGATCATTAGAGTCCTTGCGCACAAGAATGTTCTGCATTTTAGCTCCACGAGATTGTAAATTGTACTGCCAGAAATAACGATGTTTTCTATGCTGGCAAGATTTTTCTTCTTTGCTAGATGGCCAACTTGTTGAAAGAACTTCATCACTTTCGTATTGGTATACATCTAAATACAAAAGAAAAAAATTAATATGAGATTATAATATAAATAATAACTTAAATTCTGATGCATATATACTTTACCAAATCTGTATGGTTCTGAATTACCTATCATAAAAGAACGCACTTTTATGTATTCATGATCTGCTTTGAATAGTAGCTTTAAGCAATATTTTCTCAGGTAAACAGATTTATACCAAAATCTTGGTTTAAAATATCTGTATCACCTCATGCAAACATGTATTGTGATCATCTGAATTCATTTCATAATTTAATACTAGCACTAAATGTAAGAAATAGATTATTTTGAAGATAATATGCTGATGATGATAAATGGAAAGGAACTGATAAGCAGTATTTAACACCTTTTTATATTATACACTAACATCTACAGCAGACTGTGGGAGGCAGGAGAAAGAGGAAAAAATCATTTAACATCTTACACACAGTTAATAAATATAGATATATCTGAAGAGGTATAGGCTAATAACGAATGAGGAACTGCTCCTAAGGTGCACTGTCTCACATATTAATTTTTTTTTCATTCCAATGCAAAAACTGTGATAATACATAGAGAATGGGAAGTTACTGCTGTGCTACTTCACAATACAAATTCCTTTATGGTACCAAAATAAGGTTCCAATGCTTTAAAGAGCTGTTGTATGATTGTATCACAACTAAATCAAGACAAGACATCCTACTCCTGCATGCATATAATGACAGATGGTTTTACAGTATATTCATAATTTTATCCTGTACTGGCAGAAACTTGGGACATGGAATCCACTCATATATGATTTCACCCAATGATTAAAGAAGGGCTCATATTTAGCTATTCTTTCAAACATGATTGGTTTTAATTTGACTTAAGCTTATTTAGAGCTCTCCTTTGTAAAATGGCCCATGAAAATTTGGAACAGGTTTTCGCAGAAAACATTGTGCAGCACTCCTTCAAATCAGTAAAGGAAATATCATAACAATGTGTAAGACTATGTGATATATAACAACAGAGACTAAGAGATATTTATTCAGAAAGCATGATTAGAGCAGAGCAGGAAAAATGACAAAAAGGTCCACATGATTCATGGTCGGGCAAAAAAGATGCAGTTTTTGATCATTTTTTATTGTTATGCAAGATGTGCACCATCAATTCATGTTCAGTACCAGATCATCAATGAACACTTGAGGCACCGTTGCCTATTTCTCTTGAAACACCAACTTCAGTTGTCAAATCACTGCCTATGTGCTGCCTGGTGTCTGAGAACATCCCATGTGTGCTTAAACTGGATGTAGGTCCACACACCTTTCAGATCAAGCCGTATGACAAATAACTTAACTCTTCACTTCGATGGAAAGTGCTATATGATTAAATGCTGATCTGTCATCCATAAAAAGAAATTCTAGTCTAGACTAAGCCATAAAAGACATACTTGAGCAATGAAAAATTCATTTCAATATCAGCCACTAGTGACTAAACCTCCGCACAAGGTAAAAAGCTCCTCGCACCTTTTCAAATGACAATTCTAAATCTGTGCCTTCCAACAATTATGAAGGGTGACTGCATGTTCCCTGTTCTCTCCAGTTGTTCAAAATTACTACTGTTGCAATTTTCAGATGCCAAAATTTCTATCTAGACTAAACTGGCTCTCATCCATTCAACACTTTGTTTCCTTGGCACTGAAGGTGACACAGTCCCTTCAGTCTGGTCTGATCCCTGTGTAACTGTAATTGGCTGAATGTCTATGTAACTATAACTATATATGCCTTTCAGAAATTTCGAGATATGGAAGTTACAGGAAATTTATAGGTGGTCGGGGTGAAACTATATAAGACTATAGAGAGCAAACTTTTTACTTCAGAGTTGACTTCGAAATTCTGAGAGATCCTCCTTGCGTGTTTCGCTCTTTATGCATTGCATTGTGTTTAATGTTCTTAGCGGTTTGAAGTAATTCTCATTGTGCTCTGTCATACTGAGGAGCACTTTTGTAGAAATTTCCAGAATTGTAAAGTATTTCTTTCGGGAAAATCAATTTTATCACGCTAACATCGGTTCCGTGTATATTCAGTTCATTATGAACCCACTACCAAGCAACAGCAGTTTGGAGAGGGATTGATTTTCATTGTATACAGATGAACCATGCTTTTAGGGGGAGAAATGGGAGGGGATAATTCTGTTTTGGCAATGAAAATCATTTTCCTGATTGACAATCTTTTCTTTGAGCCCCGCAAAAATATTAAGCATCACACATTTGGTTAACAGATTCACGTTCTTCAGGAACTGAGCCCTGTCCCAGCATTTTTGATGCCCCAGTGGTCCCAAACTTGAGGCCCCTGAAACAATTTAATGCTGCCTGCAAATACATTCAAATTACATATTTGTTGCAAATACGGTGTTGTAAAGATTTCAATTATCTGAAGTCCTACTTCACATTATTTGCATTATCATTAAAAGCGAGTTTGAATAACACACCAAAAGATCTATAAATTGAGATAAATAATTTACAGCATGATATAAATCTTATTAAAAAATTCGATGTGTAGTTTAACTTGTATTTGCACTCGTAAAAATATTTACGCTCAGTTACGAATTTCTGCATTACGAATAATCGCTTTATTTGTGTATACATTTATATGTGAACATTTTTAGGTATGCATTTATATTCTTTCACAACTTAAAATTAATTAAAAAAAGAGCCCGATTGAGTGATGAGCATCTATAATCTGCAACGAAGATAATTCCTAGTAACTTTTCTCCAAAATTTTTCAAAATCTTTATCGAAATCGAAGTTAAAAAAGAACTTTATCAAAATCAAAACCCAATAAGTGCGAAGCTATAGTAAGAAATAAAGAATTTTATAATTACTTATATGCAAATACAATCTTTAAAAAAAAAAAAAAAAAAAAAAAAAAAAAAAAAAAAAAAAAAAAAAAAAAAAAAAAAAAAAAAAAAAAAAAAAAAAAAAAAAAAAAAAAAAAAAAAAAAAAAAAAAAAACGACGCACCGAGAAGATATAAAGCAAATTTAACACAAATTGATATGTATACAGGTTTTGAGGGAAAATGCAAAATTTTACATTTTGGCTGCCAAGGAATGAACAGTTGTCGCTACAGCGCATCTCATCTGCGCAACTGGCAGGATATTTAAGAGGAGAAATTACGATTCCAGGTCATAAATTCTTCACGAATTTCATTCCGTGTACTCTGGTAGACAGTAACTATGCCTCGCATACAGGTGCGTAAACGATATGCGCAGATGTCAGAATTTATGAGAGGTCGTGTAGTTGGCCTCAAAGAAGCCAGTTAGTCTTATCGGCAAATAGCTCGACATTTGAGCAGGAGTGATGCCACTATTAGACGATGTTGGCAGGAATGTGTGAACCATGGCTGCACACAGCATCAAGAAAGAAGCGGTAGGCCTAGAAAAACGACAGAACGTGAAGATCGAGCAATCCAGAGCGGCACTAACAGCCCCAGCTGCATCATTAGCATCGATTCTATGTGCGACTAGTGCTTCAGTGATCGCAAGGACCATTTCATAGACGGCTCACGGAAAGGGGGCTGAGGTTACGGTGCCTCTTGCGCCGACTACCATTGACCTCTGTACAACGTCAAGCCCATTTGCAGTGGTGTCGGGTTCATTCGCACTGGAATGTCACTGAATGGAGTAGAATAGTCTTCAATGATGAGTCACGCTTTGAACTGAGCCCCAATGACCAGCGAAGGCGAGTCTGGAGACGCCACAGACAGCGGTGTGATACCAATGTGACTGTCTTCCAGCAGACAGGCCGACAACCAGGAATGATGGTCTGGGGTGCCATTTCATTTCATAGTAGGACCCCTTTGGTTGTCACCCGTCGCAACCTTACAGCACAGCGGTACATCGACGAAGTTCTAAGACCCGTTGTGTTGCCTTTCATGTCACGCCACCCTGGGCTAACATTTCAGCAAGAAACTGCACATGTTTCTATGCGCTCTCTTCTACCGCACATGTTCCGCTCTCAAACTGCACGTTTCTACTGCTTGCCTTAGTGCTTGCCGAACATAAGCTTGGCCAGCAAGGTCGCCGGATCTCTCTCCTATTGAGCACGTTTGAAGCATTATGGGCATGGCCCTCCAACTCGGGATGTTGACGATCTAACACGCCAGTTGGACAGAATTTGGCACAATATCGCTCAGGAGGACATCCGCAACCTCAATTAATCCGATGCCAAGCCGAATAACTGTTTGCATAAGGGCCAGAGATGGGCAAACGCGTTCCTGACTTTTTCACTTTGTAAAGCTCTATCTCTTCAATAAATCATCCAAATTTTTTCAAACTGTAATCATTTGTTTTTCTGTGCATGTACATCACTTTTACCGATTTTCGTCCCATTCGAATAACTCCTTCTTGGTGCGTCTTCTTCCCCCCCTTTTTTTTTTCTAAGAATGTATATACATTTTAATTTATGTGTAGAGGAAAACTGAATAAATAAAGAGAAAGACTAACCTGCTATTGTTTATTCTGAAGTTTTGCTTGATTTGGAAAGTTTTCACAATTTGCTTATTTTTAGTTTACATTAAAGTAAATTATTTAACGCTTAATTGAACATATTAGAATTATTTGAAATATTAATATTTAGCTGTCAATATATTTAACTTGCAAAGTTGTATTCAACAAAATTGTTTTGCAGGTACCCAACTTTAGATCTCGGCCTAAAAATAAATAAAAATTTGAATTATTTTCCTTTCGGTTATTATTGTTTACGTATGTTTTAATAAATGTCAGTAAACAACATTTAAAATCTATTTTATATTTTTATTAAAAATTTTTCATTTTGCTTGAAAAAAATGGCCCATCAACTGTTTTCAGGTCATGCCGCTGATCGGTAAAATGGTTAGTGACGCTAACTGTTGCACCGATGGGCTCCGTTTCGAATACCGCAGAAGGCATAGATATCCATAAGTATGTCTGTGCAGCACGGGGGTACTAAAAATACTGGCCAACCCGAAAATCCTCTCGAGTGGTTTG